CAGGGAGCTGAGAGGTTCATGGCCTCTTGGCACAAGGGCAAGGAGGAGGCCAGCCGACAACGAGCCATCAAACGAGGAGACAGCGGGCCCAAAAATAGTCTAGATACGGCACCAACCAACGGGGCGGGAGGGGGGCGGAAGGAAACGGCGAGGCGGGAAGAAAGCAAGCGAGAAGAGACCGACCGCGTGACGTGACATGTTGCGGTCGAATTTCAACGACTAATTTTTCTGTTGCCCTCTCCCCCGTTTGCTGTCGCGTTCAGACTGTCTCTAGGGATATCCCTGTCTCTGTGCGAGTTTGTTTGTGTCCTCGTCTTTGCTTTATTCTGTTTTATTTTGTCTTTTGTTTTGTTTTTTACTGGCACGTACCCCCGCCCCTTCCTTTGGCCGTCGACCTGCCTCCATGTAGTGGGAGGCTACCCCCCCAGGCTGGTGGTGCGGCCGTTCCACTAGTCTAATTATTTATTTTATTTTATTTTATTTGTTTCTGATTATATTTTGTTTTCTTGTATTTTATCGCTCTGCTGACCCTTGGGGTCCATTTTATTTTGGTATACCTTTTCTAGGTACGTTAGCCTGTGACCACGGAAATTGGCCGAGTCCAGTGATGGATTAGTACGGAGAGATTGAGACAGAAGGAGGTACTAGATAGAGAGACCGGGATGGTTTTTAATGTGAAGACACAAGACATAGACTACTACTGCTTACGCAGATCAAAACTGCTAACTCGAACGAACCATGTGTAGCATGCCGAAATGATTTCTCGTAACGATGTTTGGATGCTCTAGGCGTTCGGCCAAACGTCTATTTTGGAAATCCCCAAGAACATGTGTAAGGCTACCGCGTGGAAGTCAGGTAACCAAACGGCTTCAAATCCGCGTTCATTTGATATTTTGTTCGAAAAGAACAGTTTTCTGAGGTACATCTGCAATTGCCGGAAGGCAAAAAATAAATAAAAAAAACATCAATACCCTCGTCGGTCGGTTCAATCGTCAACTCACCAAACATACCACCAAGATTCTGCACAACGGCTGTGAGCAGGATTTCGAGCCTCAATCCTCCTTGAACGAGGGTTTCAGAGTGCGAAAGTAGGCATGCTTTCCTCTTAGTGCGCACAAAATGGTGAGCTGTACTACTGTAGATCAGACGAAGTGTTTTTTGTAGTAGTTCCAGCTTGTCTTCAAAACATGACCACCTTTCTTTGTCCCCCCAAGGCAAAACTATTAGCCGTCTACACGGCAAAAAAGCTTACACGTATGCATACAAGGTTTTGGGCGCTTCGCGCCCCCGCGTCATTGAAGATCTCCCAAGGCAACGATAAATAGATGATGTCTATAGTGCTCGGGACGGCGGGAATGTTGAGATTTTCAGATTTTCAGGGGAGGATATATAACACGCGCCTTTCACAGAACTCACGTTCCGGGATTTTCAGAGAAAAAATACAATTTGTAAGATTATACAAGACGCACACGAATTTACGCACCTAAATAGTTTCCGAAGGTCGTGTCGGTCTCGCAATTTTCCTCCTCGTCGGCGAGCGTGCAACAAACGGCATCCTGTACGTCTTCGCAGAGAGAGTCTTCTGTTCCGCACTCATCTGTTTTGGACAAAAACTCGTAGACGCATGTGGCGCACGAGTTGTCCGAAATACAAGCTGAAGCTTCGGCGTCGCACGCAGAGGTCGAGGTCGTCAAGGCCCTCCTCATCGTTCCCATTCCACCCTCCTCGTTTGCGAGCCGCACGTCGTCAGCTGCCACAAGCCCCACGAGCAGGAAAAGAAGGGCCATGAGGGCCGGTAGAAGATAGGCGGTAGTAGTCCTTCCAGCCATAGTCTTGCTTGCTTAGGCCTGCATGTGACAGCAGCGGCATTCGGGTTGACGGAGGAGGCGGGAGCAGAAAAATACAGATAGATACATACTTGAGATGCGATATGACGGAGTTTGCGATAGTCAAAAACTTTGTATTAGCTTGACAAAATATTTCTTGACACATTTGAGGCAAATTCGCCATGCGATAACGACGATTTCAAATTTTGGTTGAGTTTGTCAGTTTGAATAAAAATGTTCCTGTCGACGTGATGGCGGAAACCGAAGCTGCTTTGTTCAACCTGACCACGACACCACGCACACACAAAAAAAGCATAGCTCCTAAGACACCGCGGCGTCAGCAGCAAAACACAAGAGGACAACGCACTGCATGTCAAGTAGCAGACAGTATTGTAGAGATGATCGCAAATAGAAATAACCGACCGTTGTCAATTGCTACAGACGACTCAGGAAATTCTGCCAGGGTGGATTACTGCTGTTGTCGAGGTTGCCTGCCTCCCAAAACCGAAAGGTGAAAAAACATCGCAAACTGCTTGGCACCTACTGTGGCAATGGCGCACGACGTATTCCGTTCAACATCGAACGCGGCGTAAAATGAGGTGAAACCAACAGTACAAACGGCTTGACACCTGTGGCAATGGCACAACATTTATTCCAAGGGTAGGTTCTGTAGGGTAAGGGTACGTTCGGTAGGGTAATGGGTCTGTCACAAAACTCACAGAAAAGTTCGGTAGGGTGCTGGTTCTGTCACAGAACTCACATAACTATAGGGTATTGTGGTGCGCCGTCACAGGACTTACAGAACTTTCGAGTTCTGTAAGCGAGCTGTCACAGAATTTCGGTAGGGTACTGGGTCTGTCACAGAACTCACAGAACTATAGGGTATTGTGGCGCGACCTTCACAGAACTCATAGAACTCGTTTGTGGGGTAGTCGAAGACGGTACCTACCCGCGGTTGTTGTTGTTGTTGTTGTTGTTGTTGTTGTTGTTGTCTTCACTTTACAAAACCATCCCGGTCTCTCGACCCAGTACCTCTTTCTGTCTCATAAAAAAGTGAGCGCTGAATCAGCGGTACCCGCGTGAGTTTTAATTTGTACGTGCACACTTTTGTGCCTTGACCAAGATTCAAGCTAAATTGAAACGTGCGCGCGTACGCACGGACCCTCGACCCCAATCCTGAACTTTCCAGGTGAAACGCGGAAGACGGTCGGCTTAGAAATCCAACTCCTACCAAAAAATAAGCGCAAGAAAAATGAAACGTTTCCCACATACACCCCCAGCGAGTACATGAAGGACTTGTCGCGGGAGCTCTTTCTCACGAAGTCAGCGGGCGCGCGGAATCTATCCACCGCGTCGACAACACCCCGGTCTACCTCCACCACCTCCCCCTTCTTGTTGTAGACGGGCGCCGGTAGGATGACGGGTACGCCCCCCGCGCTATCGCCCGCAACAACCTCTACCTCGGGTGAATCTCCCTGCCCCGCGCCAGCGCTACCTTCGCCTACACCTGCCTCCGCCGCGTGCGAGCTCGCCTGAGTCTCGCCCGCGGCTTCTGGCGTAGATGAACTGCTGGGGTCCACAGCGCTCATGTTACCTCTCAAACCGATACCGTGCGTTGTTTGTGGGATGTGTGGTATGTGTGACAGATCTGCAAGGTCCGCCGGTTTGTGTGTGATTTCGTGAGGGTAGAGGGTACGCTTCAAGTTTGGTTCGTAGAGGTGACGTCAGCCCACCGGGGTAAACACACTTGTGGAGGGTAGTTCCACAAATGTTTACCCGTACCGCGGGTATTGTTGACCCGGGTGTACAGAACCAGAGAGTACGTTCGGTAGGGTACTGGGTCTGCCACAGAACTCACAGAAAAGTTCGGTAGGGTACTGGATCTGTCACAGAACTCACAGAACTACAGGGTCGAGTTCTGTAAGCGAGCTGTTTATTCCATTCGACATCGAACACGGCATAAAATCCACTTGTGGATTCAGGACTACTGTTGAGGTCACCTGCTCATTTTTTTTGGCAGGTCATAACCGTCTATGATTATGAGCTTTCACGGTGACAGAGGAGCTGGGCCAAAAAATATTGCCGGGGGGGGGGGGG